GGCAGAGGAGGCAAGGAGACAGGCCGAGGTCGACATTGAGGACATCAGGGCGCGCAGAGAGTCCTACTACTCACGCAACGAGGCTGAGAAGAGGCGCGACCGCGATCGCGTGGTATCAGACAGCAAACGCACACCGGCCAAGGAAAAGCCACGGAGCAGCCGTGAGAAGGAGGTGCGACGGGACAGCACGCGGAAGCCCAAGAGAGCAGTGATACCTGATGACCACGACGACTTCGTCTTTGGCCGCCCCAAGTCCATGGGTCACGTTGAGGAAGTCCCTGTGCGACGAGCATCTGGGCGCAAGAGAAGCGAGGAAGGCGGCTCTTCTAGCAGGACTGCCTACACTCCGCATTCAGGTTCTGGATCTGCGTCAGTCCGCAGGGTCGAAGTTCCGCCATTGACCAGGTTAGTCCCGTCTCCACTTGTACACGTAGCTCAGCTAATGAGGGCCAGGAATTCATCTACACGCGAGCCAAAAGCACATACTTCGGCCAGAGAACGAGAGCCCAGGCCGACAGTACGACGCAGCAACACTGTCAAGTCGCCTCCCCCAACGCCACTCACCCGGACGCAGTCGGTCAAGGATGCTGCCCGTCGGAGCACCGGGGGCATCTTGTCAAGCTTCTTCTCCAAGGCGGCGCCTCCAGTCTCGCGAACGCCTTCGCGCAAGGCTGAAGAGAAAACGTTAGTATCCCCGTCACGTTACCCCTACAAAGCTAACCTCAACTAGGGTCGACTGTCTCGTGTGCATGAACGATGACCTACCCATCACCAAGACCGTCAAGCTCGCATGTGGCCATCGCATGTGCTACTCATGCCTCAAGCGCCAATTCACCCTTTCCGTAAAGGACCCTGCTCACATGCCACCACGATGCTGCACCTCAGAGCACATCCCATTGAAGTATGCCGACCGCCTCTTCGATGACAAGTTCAAGGTCCAATGGAACCGGAAGTTCCAAGAGTACACGACTGCCAACCGCCTATACTGCCCCACGAAAGGGTGTGGCCAGTGGATCAAGCCTTCCAAGATCAAGATGGACCCGACATACGGACGCAAGTACGCACGCTGCAGCACGTGCAACACCAAGGTCTGCGTACTCTGCAACAGCAAGTTCCACACGAAGCGTGAATGCCCCAAGGACGAGGAGACCAACCGCCTAGTAGAGATGGCCAAGGAGAAGGGCTGGCAACGATGCTACAGCTGCAAGGCTGTAGTCGAGCTAAAGGAAGGTTGCAATCACATGACCTGGTACGTTCATTATATCACTCACATACAACAATATCTAACAACATCCCAGCCGCTGCACAGCACAATTCTGCATGGTCTGCGCCGCCCCATGGAAGACCTGCAGCTGCCCCTGGTTCAACTACCAACACATCCCCGACGGCGACCAGCTCAACGACATGCGCGTCCCCTACCCGCAACAAGCCCGCTACGCCGATGTTGAAGTCATCGAAATCCCCGACGAGCCCTCGCCACCCCTCGCCCGCCGCCCCAGCGTCCGCACCCCACGCAACCGCAGCGAACGCGACCTTCCCCGACCCGAATCCCGCCGCCTGTCCGCTCACCTCCGCGACTCACTGCACCTCAACCCCACGCCCACCGTCTCTTCCATCCGCCGCACCGAGCCCGAGGTGCAAATGTACGGCGTCGGTAACGCAGGTGGCCACCACATGAACGACTCGTACGCCATCCGCTCCATGCCCGCATCCGTTGCGCGCACCGCAGCCCGCACATCCACTCCACGCACGTCAACCCCACGTGGCGCCTTCTTCACCAGCAGCAGCAGCACACGCCGCGCTGCGCCCGCCCCTGCACCCGTTGCCGCCCCTCGCGTCCGACCCGCATCCACACCTGTCGTCACCTCCTCCACCATGGCCGGTCTCTCTCGCGACGGCCGCAAGGTCGGCCAGAACCGTGTGGGCACTTGGCTCACTCACGTCCAAATCGACCCCGAAGCTACCAACACAGCTGCCCGGGATGTCGAAGTGGATGACTGGAGGTGCGATGGTACCATGATTGGTATCGACTAGATCATATCGCATTCTATTGCACACATAACGACCGGCGTTTTTTTGCTTTCGATCTGGATTTTACATCTCCTTCTAGTCGTCACGCTTCCTCTTCTTCACTCAGCATCATTTCTGGGCTTTGCGTTTTTGGGATTTATACATCGGTTTTTTTTTTCTCTCTCTCGGTTATTGGGTTGGTCATTTTGAGCTTTGGGAATGTTTAGAGTTACCCTTCTCCCTCCTTTTATCTTTTGCGGGCGAAAACCGCGAAAGGTTCTTTTTCTTTTGTGTGTATTAGTCGTGTTGATTAGCGGTTTTTGGATAGCATTTAGCCGGCAAGATACCCACCCTTTACGCCCTCGTTTAATCAGTTATTTTATTGAGTTAATGCTATTGTACTCTTTCTGTTCAACTTCAAAAGTGTTTGAGATTGGCTTGCTATGGGTGATGTAATGTGATGTAGTTTAGCGGGAGTTGGGAAAGGTCAAAAAGTTATCTGTCGTAGAGTACAGTAATGATATTGCCATCCACGTCATCCTATTGCTATAGATTATTTGACAGTGTTTACACCAGTCCAATTCCAAATGCTGTATTGTTGAGTGTTAATAGGCCCACTGCAACGCAGTGAGTTGAAACACTTCTATCAAATACTTCCCAAACATGTTTGATAATTTAGACATCGTGTTTGAATATCAACCCAACTATGTGTGCGAAGCCAAGACAACCATGAGGCTACCTAAATCTACGCCTCACACTAAGAAGTGACTGAGAAGTTCTGCAGCCTACACTAGGGTCAAAGTGCAGGTTAGAAAACATAGCGAGTATCCATCTTCTTCCTCGATTGGAGTGCCTACGCCATCGCCCCTCAACTCCCTGTCCTAATCGTAACCACCTCCCCGAGCAAGTAAGCCAAAGGAGATCCTTAGATCCACCTCGTCATCGTGAGGCGTATGCAGAGTACGTGGCACCAGCGCAATGGCTGTCACATTCGCTTGTCCTCTCGCTTGATATGTACAAAAAAAATGAGGCAGTGAGCAGAGAGGGGTAACGGACCTACTCTCCCAGCCACCCTTCAACCCTGTACCCTGATCGTCTTCTGAGCGGTGAAGCCCGTTGGGAGAGCAAAAGATTGACAAAAAGAATGGTTCGAATGTTCTTGAGCAGGCTCAAGCACGGTGATGTCCCCTTCGTGGATCGAACACGATACCTCCAGATTTAGTGACTGATGACTTCAGTCTGGCGCTCTCCCAATTGAGCTAAGGAGACGGTTTCTTGATGGAAGTTTGCCAGACCACAACAAATATATCGCGGGCAATCATGCTTCTCCGAGAGCTTCGATCGATCAAGATTGCAAAATGGAACTTCGTAACACGTCTCCGCCGTGTGTGGAGTTGATGTCGTTGACTAAGAAAGATGACGGTTAGTGTACCGAGGCTCACCCATCGCAAGTCCACCAGCTCCACAGCATCATCTCCAACTTCTTTCCGCGCAAGAGCTCCCAAACCACCACAACGCCGTCGCGCTCGCTCCCAACCCGCTCCAACTCTTCCAAAATGCAACCCTCGCCCCTCGCGAACCCATTGGCAACCGTAGCCCAGCTCGAAACCTCCGGCTCCCAACTCGATGGCATCCCACCCACGCTCGAAGACTCCATCCGCTTCGCCGGCGCGCGCCTCACACAAGCCGCAGGCATCCTGCTCCGCCTCCCACAAGAAGTAATCGCGCAAGCCATCGTAATCTTCATGCGCTTCTGGCTCGGCCCCGAAGGCGGCAGTCTCGCAGAGTTTGGCGCAGAGCAAGTCTCGGCCGCGTCGCTGTACCTCACCACGAAGCTCTCCGCATATCCAAAGTCTGCGCGCAGTCTTGTAAACGTGTACGCGTATCTCGATTCGCTGCCGGCGACGTACTTCGATATGGAACAGCTTCAGAAAACGGGCGAAGACGCAAAGGAATACTACGTCAGCGAAGGGACATATGAGCGCCGCCGCGCAACGCTGTTTACAACCGAACAACGCATCCTGCGTACCCTGGGTTTCAACACACACGTTCAACTCCCCTACACACTATGCATTACATACATGCAAGCCCTCGACATCTTCAGCCACCCCCGCGCCTCCGAACTCGCAAAACGCGCAATCGCGCATCTCAATACCGCGCTCTTGAGTCCGCAGTGCCTTTACCTGACGCACCAGCCGCATGAGTTGGCGACGGCGGGAATTTATCTTGCGGCGAGGGAGACGGGGATTAAGATGCCGGAGTGCGAGTGGTGGGAGGTGTTTGATACGGATAGAGAGGTACTGGGGTTTTTGTGTGTGGGGTTGTTGAGTTTGGAGGGGTGGGTGAGGAGTGAGAAGGAGAGGTGGGAGGGAGGGAAGGTGCCGATGAGTGTGGAGGGAGTGGAAGCGGAGGTTAGGAGGATGCGAGAGGAGAAAGAGACTTGAAAGACACAATACCGTTTGCTCTCACCTTGGACCTCACGGAATCTCCATCACGGACACTGAGGACCTCGCATAACTCCTCTACACGACTGTCGAAGATACGTGACGAATCTCGGAAATCACACACTGTTCGCGATGTTGCGCAAACTTCTGGAAAACGCCACATCTTCACGATGTTTCTCGTACGCAAACAACGTCAGGATTTGAAGAGCAGGGCGACCGTAATGAGCAATCCGATATATTCCCGCTACTACCGTCGACTAATACCCACATCAAATCGACATGGCATCGAGAGAAACACCACTTCAGAAGAGCGTGATGCCTTTTGAAGATTTTCTAAGGTGGAATAGTGACCGCGATATGGAAGTGCGGTACGATCGGTTCGTGAACGATAATAGGTATGAGCAGTGCATCACCCATCTACCGTCAAGTTTGGGCAGCCAACAAAAAGGGTCTTCACATACGGAGGCTGAAAAGCATCGAAGTGCCCCTGCACGGCTAGAGAGAACACACGAGGGTTTTAGCATCGAGAGAACTCCGTACATCAGCATGGACGCGCCACTCGACAGCGTTGAGGACCATGACTCTGTACTCGGCCCTCGCAGTAACCCCGTGAGGTTGAGTCGCAAGGCTGCTGTGAAGCGGAACAGCACGAAAGAGAAAAGGTCTGCGACGGAGAGACACGACAGTCCGATGCAGAGCATCCACGTCCGCGCGAAGACTTCTTCTATGGTTCCGGCTATCCGAATCATTGGGAGCACGCCGCCCATTTTACGCCGCTTTAGCTTCGATGAAACATTCAGTGAAGTCGCGTTTAGCCTCAGCAAGCTCTCGAACTCACCTGATTTCGAAGACGTTCCGCTCAGCCCTGTGGCTGGTCCAGAGCCGGTCAACTCGTCTCAACCGCAACTATCTGTCCAGGAACAACGAAGCCATCGAGCGGCCACAGAGGAGCGAGAGGAAATGATGGGGAAGCAAGAAGTGGAGCGACAGCAACGCCATGTTCCGACGACTTTTGATCAGATATTGGGAGAGAAGAAGGTTCCTACCGCGTTGTTGTAGATGTTGCAGGAGGATGAACGAGGTGAATGAAGGAGCTGGGTACGAAAGTTTCATCATCAGGCAATAACATATACCATCCCACCCACAGCCGCACACATGCCTTCAAAATTAGCACCACGCTGTACACCGACACGTGCTTGAATTCAAACGCAACTTCACAGCGCAATCGCTTGCTACAATGTACATCTTCACCTCATGTTTCCACATTACTCTCGCAACAGCTGGGTAAGACTGTTCTCTTCTCGAAGTAAGCCATTGTAGTATCAACACAATGTATTGTGTCTCTGACCCATACCTTCACTCTGCATCAGCATACTCCCAGTTGTAACACATGCTACTATCTAGACCTCATATTAATAGATCACTAATACCCCACTACCTACTCCTCTTCAGACAGAGCAATAGCTCACGTTCAGAGATTCAACCATGCCACGCGCCCTAGTCGCCCTACCTACAGGAACCCACGCATCATGGCTTGACCTCCTCCCCTCGTTTCCATCCAAGCCTAAGCGCCAACCCCGCGCAACCCCCCAAATGCTCCTGCGCATCTCCGCTCTCCACCACTCCCTCTCCATCATAAAACACTCCCTGATAACCCGCACACACATGCACAACCTCTACCTTACCCTCGGCGCCTACTGCCTCACCTGCAGCCCCCTTTCCACCCGCGGCCGATGCGGCTCTACGTGTCCCCTTCTCCGTCCCTACACTCCCAGCTGTGCGTTTTACGGCGCGGTAGAAGCGGATAGGGGGTGGGTGAGGCGGTTGGTAGCTGATAAGGCGAAGTATAGGGAGGTTGTTGGGGATATGACGACTAGGGGTACGGCGGTTTATGCGGCCACAGTTGCGAGGTGGGAGAGAGTGGTACGGGGGCTGAGGGAGGGGTGTGAGGTGCCGAGTGAGAGGTGGGAGAAGGAGGGATGGCCGAGTGGGAGGGGGAACGAGGGGGAGGGGATGGTGGTGTTTAGAGAGGGGTGGAGGTTTGAGAGGGCTTGGGGCAGGGGGATAATGGTGGGTGGGATTGGGGGTGTGGCGCCTGAGGTGAGGTGTTTGGTTTTGAGGGGGGTGAAGAGAAAGTTTGAGGACTGCGATGTTGATGATAGTGAGGAGGAGAGTAGGAAGCGCGTTAAGCGTGTATAGCATACTAGGTTCGGTGAGCTGAGTACCAGTAACTTTATTTGCTAGATTTCTGCAAGAGTACATTGCTAATGGTACAGTCTCATCGACACAATGACACATACATCTGACTCCAGCAGCCCAACCTGTTCCTCAGAAGTGCGCGATGGACTTAGTGTTTTTTCGATGCTCACGAAGCAGAACCACAAGTTCGTTGTCATCAGGAAGGCGGTCAATCCATGCTCTTGCTGGCATTCCGTGAAAGCTGCAGCCCTTGTCAGGGTCTGCACCATGCTCCAGTAGCCATTTGGCCGTGTCGTATCGCTTCCAGTGGAGAGCACAGTGCAATGGCGTCCCCTCACGCCCACGGCACTCGTCCGGGATAGGCGGTCCACTGTCCATACTGTGGATGTCGAGGCCCAGTTCTCCGACGAGGTACTTAAGCATTGGAATTCTGTTGTCGCTTTTACTGCCTGCCGCATGGTGGAGTGGTGCGGAGTTGGATAACACAGCACCATGGGAGAGTAGGAGACTGAATATTTCTGGGCTACAATGTGCGGCTGCTTCGTTGAGTGTGTGGCCACAGTTAGACATGGGACGCATGTTCATAGCTGGCGCTGTTATCTTGCTCGATGGCCCGAGGTTGGGGTTCGCTCCTAGTTTTAAGAGCAATCGAATGCTCGATTCGTCGTTACGCTTGACAACTAAACTAACTTCGGTAAGCTAACTGTTGCAGTCTTCGTAGAAATCGATGTCGTAGTGGCTTCGTCGCACAGACTTACGGGAGCAGCACAGCGCCATAGGCGATGCTGGTATTGACGTCGTAACCCCACCCTAACAACCACTTCACCCCTTCGTGGGAGTCTGATGCGCAGTGCACTGTACGTGTGTCCCATCTAGCACCTGCGGTGTGGAGTTGTGTGGCCAGGTCGAGATGATTGCATTCGATAGCTTTATTGAGCCCGTACGTTAGCGGTTCAGGCTCTCTACCAGACGCCAGCATTAACGCAACGGCCGCATTATTGCTCTCGCACGCATGCAAGAAGATTGCACAACACGGATCGTTACTTTGGTCTCCGAGTTTATAGTATGCGAGATGGGGTGGCATAATGGATCCAACCGTGGAGGAATGTACCTAGGTACGCAGGTATGCAGCCCAGACGATGAAGTCAAGCGGTATGATCGAGTGACGGTCTGCGTCACCCCGCGGTATAAATACATCTGTTTGAATCCTGTGAGATCAGCGCTTCCATGCGGCGTATGCGGCGTATTGTTTCAGAAGCTGCCTTCCCAAGGATGACGAATGGGGCCGCGGTGGGTTTAGCGCTGGAATTGTGTTCCGTGCGGCTGGCAAGCGACAACCTTGTAATCCTTCTTGCCTTTCCTTCCTACCACCTCATACAAGAAAAAAACTGAACAGGTCTAGAGCCTACATCGACGCTAGGCCACCTATCTTGTATGCTTCCATGTTGATGTAGGCTGCAGACCTGTGCAAATTCTTTTCTTGGTTGACGTGCTACCGCTGCCTTCCAAGGTTCCTTCCGACATCCACTTCTCCTCACCTAATGAGTTTGCGATGCCATTCTGTGGTTTTGATTTCGAAGGCAAATTTGGGCCCAGGCAGGTTATATCAAGGCTGTGAATTCCACAAGCACGACGGATGACACCGTCATATTACCTGGGCCGCCCCCAAATGACCATTAACGCCTGTTCCAAGAATATTTTGTCGCTACGCCACGGGCCAAAACTCTTCGGATGCAGAGGGCCCGCCTCTGTCTTCACTCGGATTCGGTGACCGGTTTGACAAGATGTCACCTTGCAGCAACGCTGTTTTGCGGCGTCGAAAGCCATTGCGCAACGCAAGGCAGAATGCATGTCCTCAGTCCCGGGTGACAACATCTGCGACAAGTTCTTACAAACGCTACGCAATGTTTGCAATTTCTGGACGAAACGCATGCACGCCGCAGGGCAGTGCGAGAAGATCTCAATTGAAATGTAGGTGAATGAAAGCGTAAGCACACTGTCCATCCAGATGACATATAAAGCCGAACATCGATCATGATGCTGGGAGAGTCCAAAGCACTTCTCTATCAAATCATTCGTCCTAAATCATCCCGTCATTATGCAATTGCTACGCAGCGGTAATGCACTCGCTTTGCTTTTTTCCTATCCCGCATTCATCACGGCACAGATCAGTACGGGTACCGGAGGCAGCAGTGTGATCTCCCAAAGTCAAGCTCCATTTCCTGTCCCGGTCAATAGTAGCAGTACCATTGTTGTTGAACCTTCCACTCCAATCACTGGATCATATAGCACAACACCCTCAGACCTTTCGTTCACTACTCTCCCTTTGGCGACACAGAAGAATGACACGGTTGTGAATACGATCATGAGCACGTATTCGTCGACGGCATCTACTTCTTCTTCTCATTCTTTAGGTCCCTCTTCAGTCTCGCCTATCGCGTCGTCTTCCACGCTATCTTCAGTCTTGTCCAGCGCCGGCACTTTTCAATCGGGAGTGACCAGTACTACCAACGCAACGACTTCCTCGAGTTCCAACACCGAAGCTGCGACCAGTGGCGCGACAAGCCTCAGTCCGACTGCGCAACCTACTGCAATCAGTTCAGCGTCCAACACTGCCTCATCGATACTCGCAACATCAGATAGCCCATCACTTCCTCCCAGTATTACTATTCCTCCATCATTGCCAATCACTACCCTAGTACCCACTGGGACCAAAGTTCAATCGAGCGCGTCAGATCTATCCATAGCTATCGTGGGTGTGTTTCCCATTATCCAGAATTGGATAGAGGATCCTGCCGCTCATGTCACCGGCGTGATAGACGAGCTGAACAATATTCTGCCTGAAGCGGCTGGCTTCTTAGCCAAACTACCAAAGCCAACAGACGGAGTCGAGCCGTGTGGGTCTGGGAAACGCCGAAGAAGCGAACAAGATCGTGATACGTACGCTGTACTCGGCGAGCGCGATCTGCTCGGTGGCTTGTTCAAGACAGCATTCTCGCTCGTAAACTGTGTCATCAACACGACCAATAAGGTCAAAGATGCAGTGGTCGGCGGAACTACTGCCGCCGTGGATACCGTCAAAGGCCTACAAGACGACCTCAAACCATTGCTCGATGCTCTCAACGACGTCGTGCCGGATGGAGATTCCGAGCCCTCTGACTCGGCATCAGAGACTGAAGAACCTACGGAGACTTCCTCCTCTACATGCACTCTAACGACCGTTAGCAACTGCGACATTACATGTACAGCGACTGCAACCACAACGATAGAAGGCCCAAATAAGCGGGCGCAGGGCGACTTGTGTACCACAGTCTGTGGGGCGCCTATCACCAAATGCGATGTGACCGGTGTCACATCGTCATCCACGGTAACAACTACGACAACGACTGCTCGGCAGTTATGCGCTCGCGACTGCGACAGCTGCAATGGGAATGTGCGAAGATGGACGAACGACGCGCCTGCTCCGACCAAATTAACCACAGCTTTTGAGGACAATGCCCTTTCCTCAACTTCGACGATCATTGCATCGTACTTCAATAAGCCTGAATTGAGGACGCGGGAGCTCGCACCCGTGGAGACTAGTCAGTCTACCAGCCACATCTCGAAGCGAACTCTTTCAAGCCCTCCCCGAGGGAGTGACCAAGGTATGTGCTCAAGCCCAAATTTAGTTCCATCATTCCAGTACTACTTGGAATGATTACATCCAACCAAATACATATGAACATCAGATGTACAGGTGGTTTCTAACTTAATCAGGTGCTGTTGGGACTTGGCTTCTCATCCAGATCGCTACAAGTCCTAAGAGCTCTCTTCCACTCGGAGTCGGAACGACTGGCTTAACTTTCCCACTGGGCAATACAGCGGACGATTGGCACCTAGTAAACTTATATGGTTGCACATCCGTTGTGGTCATCTCCCGCAAACGAATGTATCTTACTCACATCTGGGAAATACCTTCCATGAAGTACCCACAGAATTTTCAAGGAGATGTCTTGAATGTTCTACAAAATGGCAGTCCTGAGTTCCGCGAAGGTCTCACAACATTCACTGGAGCTGGAGGTGACTTTGAAAACATCCAAGCGAACAAAGTACGTGCGTTCATCATCACGCCGTATCGGGATCATGCCGTAAATCCAGCAAGAGACGATGTTCAATTTCCAGCCGAAGTCACTAGGATCAAGAATTTGTTGACCAGCATTCTTGGACGAAGTGACACACTTACCATTCCCTACTTTCCGGCTGGGAGAGATGACGATAATAGAGCCCCCAAAGGCAAGATTTACATTCAGTATGACCCCGCGGCAGCAGCTCTCGTACCAACAGAAGGCGGTTGCAATCAGCAGCAAGCTGCGGCGATAGAGCTTTGGTTTGAGGATGCTCTTACCTACCGTTACAGAGACTCATGGCAGCCATTCCAGCATCAGGTTGTGCAGGCAAAGAAACGTTCCGTCGCATCTAGTGGTAAAGACCTGCGCTTGCTCAGAGGGAGAGAGGTGACGGATGCGGACGAAGCAGAGTGGAAAGAGTACGAGGCTTTGATGAGACGTCAGGATGGCGACACTTGTGCTCGACCTAGCAACAGCTTGTCGGTATCATCGGTATCACTCATTCCATCACCAGCTTCGACCGTACCTACTCCGTCCACCCTCCAGACAACGGTCAGGCCGTCATTGAGCGACTCAACCGGCGAAAGCTCAAGCCCACCGCCCTCGTCGATAGCCACATCATCACCAACTTCAAAGTCTTCTTTGGCGACGGATACCCCGTTTCTTACGTGGAAACCGGCACAGCCTAGTACGACAAAATCACCATCAGCAGCGCCCAAGCCATCTTCTACATCGCAATCTCCACCTCCACCTCAAACCGAGCCTCCGACAAAGGCATTATCGGTGATCTTCCGGAACACAAATGGCAATGGCGAAGACTACAACAACTGGACCTTCTTCGAGATCAAACCCAACACCCAAGCCGATGGCTGCAGCGTACCCATCCTCAACGATGTCTCGCGGCAATGGTCCGATGCTCCAGCCCTGTCAAACCCGTCGTGGCCGCACGGCACTTTCACCATGCCACTGTTTGGAGAAGAGGATTGTGAATACCTGAGTGATGGGACTAACCCGGGTGTGCTCCACTGCCCTAGTATGGGTGATGGCAAGACGGTCGGATGTAAAGAGGCTGATGAAAAGGACGATGCTGATGGTGTTACGGATTGTAATTATCCGGGTCTTAAGAGGAAGGTCCATATTGTTGTTTATTGTGAGTGGTAGGATAGCCCATTCTTGGAACTACGAGTCTTTTGTGCAAATGCCAGCGATTGTCGTCCCAGTAGTAATGGCTCGCTGCTCGCTCCGCGTTATCGCAAGCCATTGGCATGTGTTCTGCTCATGCCGAAGAGACGCTTGAGATGCAATGCGCCTCTCCGTCACCATAACAGGCTTCAAAGTCCCCCAAACAAGGTCTTATCTACACTAAACAGCGGCTGAAGTGCAGTATCGTGTGAATGGCTGGTGTTTGAGAGGCTAGCTGATCGTCGCTGCGGCACTGCAGATGTGGTTATGCGAGCCTCCTGTGACGTGCGTTGCGGCTGGAAGCTTAGCACTTGAGGAAACCATGACGTCAACAACGAGCTTGGACTTATTGCAGCTCTAGACCCTACGTTTGGCGGGCAACCCCAACTTTGGACTACACACCTCGCAACACAGGAATCTTTGTCAGTTTCAATTACATCTCACCAATTCACATCATGAGCTTCCTACGACCCATGTCAATGCTGCGCTCGGCAGCACTACGGCCCGCAGCGCTCTCGGCGGCTCCCCGTGCCCGCGTCCAAGTTCGTTTCGCGACTTCAGATTACGGCTCTGGTAAGGGCAACCCAGCTGGAGAGAAGCCCGAGAAGCAGGGCGCAAACCCCAGCGAGAACCTCGAGCACCCCGGCCCCGCACCTCCTAAGGTCGCCCAGGGCAAATCTTCGTCGTCGCCGAACAAGGACAGCAACGCCAGCCAGAATGACTCTCCCAAGCCTACATCCGAGTCGCCGGCTCCTAAGAGCTCTTCCGGCAAGCGCGAGTTCTCGACATCGGCCCGCCAGATGAAGGACAACAAAGAGCCAGCCGTCAAGCAGGGCCAAGACAACAAGCCCTCGCCCAACGAAGTCAAAGGTGCGAAACCCAAAATACTCAACGAAAACCCGCCGGCTTCTGAAGAGCAGAGCGAGGACGTCAAGCAACACAACAAGGACATGGATAACAGGGCGGAACAGGCGCATGAGAAGGTCAGCAACGAAGAGGCAGAGAAGGACAAAGTCCCCGGCGGCTTCTGGAAAGGTATGTCATAGCTTGACGAAGGGCATTGGCATGTCGCTAACACATTTACAGGCGAAGGTGGACGAAGCGGCTCCGAAGGCGTACGAGGATAAGCAAGGGGCGGGTGAATGTTCGGACAACATTAGCATGGTGTACAATTAGCTGAATTGACTCGTAGAAGTGTCATGAAATGTACAACATTTATCAAACATAAGCAGCCATAAACAACGTGTCTTGTGCTGTCTATCCATCGTCGGGGCGCTGAAAGTAGGCTTGGCTTCACAAGTTTTGTGCATGTTTGGGGATGACGTAGGGGGCTAGCGTGTGGATCGCCCCCGCATTTGTCGACGTGATGGGATTTTTTTGAAATGCCATCGCGACACAACGCCCGGCATAGGGGCGCTATTTCGCACGACTTGTGCTACGATGATGCTCTCTGCCTTTCTAAACCAGAGTGACAGGCCTCGGAGCTCTCTTACTGCGAAAACGTCAAGCATATGCAGGGCCTAGACCGTGCTCCTGAAAGGCGATCTCACAATTGCGCACAGCCAAAAGACGCGGTTGCATGTGGCCATAGCTCCTCATTGGCTGCTCTGCGAGGCAGGCGCGTTGGGGATCTTGTTTGCCCAAGCTCCATACGTGCAGCACTACGTCACTCGCACGCACACAATCTACCCGCCATTGTCTGTTCCCTCCCCTCATAAACTCGCTGCCCACCACTACCCTCTAGCTCTCACACCTCTGCCGAGTTTGCCTACCCTTCAACCCCTCGTCTTTGCTTCATTAATCGATATCAAGCACATCCTCACTTCGGCAGCCACACATCATGAGGTTCTCCCTTACATCCACCTTCGTGGTGTCCCTTGCTGCCACGGCAACGGCCAACAGCTGGTTTGGAAGCGCCGGTGCGTATAGTACATAACCCCTCCCGTTTGTTTTGATTTGTCCATAGCGCCATGCAGCAGTCTACTGACGCCAGGAAGCAGTCTACGACAAGTGGCATGAGACCGAGCTTGAGCGCTGGCTGAGCGACCACGGCGTTCCCCACCCCAGCCCCTCTGACCGCAAGAACCTCCAGTCGACTGTCAAGGCCAACTGGAACGATAAGGTTGTCACTCCCTACACCAGCTGGGATGCGCAGACGCTCCAGAACTACCTGACCCTCAAGGGCCAGCAGGCGAAGAAGGGCACCGAGAAGGACGCCAAGAGCCTCGCTGAGCAGGTCAAGGTGTACTGGACCGAGACCGAGGACTCCGCGAACCAGGCCTATGGTAGTGTCAAGGACTGGATCTTCGACTCGTGAGTACCCAGAAACTTGCCTCTAGCACAGTACTAACAATCTGTAGCTGGTCCGACTCTCAGCTCAAGGCTTTCGCCGATAAGCACGGCATTCCCGTCCCCCAGCCCCGCCAGCGTGACTCTCTCCTCGCTGCCGTCCGTAACAACTACCAGTCCGTCGCTGAGAAGGCCAAGGAGACTGCCAACTACCCCGGTGACTGGCTCTACGCTTCCTGGTCTGACTCTGACCTCAAGTCTTGGTTCGATGAGCGCGGCTACAACGTCCCCCAGCCCAACACCCGCGACTCGATGATCGCTGCTCTCCGTCGCCAGTCTCGTCTCGCCAGCCAGCAGTCCCAGGGCGCCTACGCTTCCGTCTCTTCCGCTGCTGCCAACGCCCAGCAAAGCCTCAGCGACGCCCTTCTCGACTCCTGGTCTGACAGCCAGATCAAGGAGTGGGCTGACAAGAACGGTATCAAGGTTCCCCAGGGCTCCAAGCGCAACGAGCTCATCGCTCTCGCCCGCAAGCACCGTGCCCGCCTTTACGGTGACAGCGCCTCTGCATCTGCCGGCTCCGTCTCTGCCTCTGGTGCTTCCGCTTACGGTGCTGCTACCTCCAACGTCGGCCAACAGTACGCTGCTGCCACCGGTGGCTTCGCCTACTACACCGACTTGATCAAGCAGCAGATTGGTCTCGCGCAGGCCAGCGTTACCTCCGCTACCGACGCTGCTGGATCCAGCGCCAGCTCTGCTTCCGTCCGCGCCGCTTCCAGCGCCAGCTCCCTCAGCGGTGCTGCTGGCAAGGCCGCGTCCTCATCCTCTTCCTCCATCTCCAAGTCCGCTGCCAGCGCTAACGCCGCTGCCTCATCCTCTGCTTCCAGCGCGTCGTCGGTTGCCTCCAAGTCTGCTCAGAGCGGATACGATGCTGCCGCCGCTAGCGCCAGCTCTGCTAAGCAGGAGTTGTAAGCACCTCACAATAACCGACAAGTAGCGTTCGGTCATGTCTTCTCTCGATGTGACTGCCATACGCATCACTTCACGACCTTACGATCTGCGTACGGATAGGCGGAAAATGGAAACCTGTAACATTAGCATCACGACGATATCCCCTCTGCGACCTCCTGGCAGGCTTGAGGAGGGTCTTGTAGTTTTTCTTATTCCTTCGGAATTGGGACGGATGGATGGATGGCGTCTCACGTAGCTTAGTATGCGCTTGATAATAAAAAGTATAATTGCACTGCTGTCCAAACATTGAGACGTGATTGAGTCGTGATTTAATATTGATGTGTGTTTTATTTACATGGTTGGAGTGTCGTTACCATGTGAATGATGATGATCGTCATCATCACTGTATAACATAACCAGCCCACAAAGTTATTCCTAATCGTGCTCAACAAGAAATTCTGCATGCGAACTTTGCGCGCCAGCAGCAGGGTCATTAACGAAAGTGATGCGCCTTTTTGATAATCTAGTCTTCAGTGTGCGGGTGGTGCACCAGGCAATGGCAAGTCTGGACCCGCAAGAAAGCTCCATGGTTGCGTTCTCTTTGTAGTTCTTGCACAGACCATGAGTTTGTTGCGGTCGTCTTTGAAGATTAAGAGGCAGAGACGACCGCAGAAAGCGGCATGTTGTTAAAGGCGCGTTGGTTTTGGAAGCAGACATGAGAGTTCAGTGGCTCCCTTTTGGTATTTTGAGGTGCGCGCTGGACCGCGGACACATGTATTCGATCAAATCTGTCTTTTTATTCCTGCAGCTTGCAGCTCAGAGGACGAAGTGCTCCCCATGTTCTAATTTTAGGAGGATTTGATGTATCGCCGGAGAAGGAAGTTCTCCTCATGATACAGTAACATAGTTGTTTCTGATGTTTCACCGAAGAAGAGGAAGAAAGGAAGACTCTTAGCCAGGAGTGTTCAAGCTTTTTGGAGAAGACGGCGCAGCCATGCGGCAGGTTATTTGCATTTTGAATACTCAAGTATGGAGAAGATGTCGAGAGGCGGAAGGAGGAAGAGAGGCAGACGCTTGCTCATAGCGGCTGCAGTTGCATTTCTTGAGAAGACGGCGCAGCCATCATGGACGACTGACTCCCTTTTGGTATTTTAAACGCTGAAATGCCGAGATAGTTTTAAGAGGCAAAACGGGGAAGAGAGGCAGACACATCGCCGGATGGCTTCGGTTTTTTTGGGAAGAGACGGCGCAGCCATTAGTAAGTAATCCTTCATTTTTGATATTCTAAATACTCAAATATAGAGAAGATACCAAGAAGAAGAGGAAGAAAGAGGGGGTTTATATATCCGCCCACACTAGTCGCGACACTCTCCATGCCAAGTCATCTCTTGGAGTTGAAGCAAAGAGGAGAAAAAGATACATGTCTCGTCATAGATTCATTTTTGACATTCCAGAGTCGTCTGGTGTACTTGAGACATGAGTTTTAATCGTCTCTCTTGACACATAAGATACAAAGCTTGATGTTTTGGTGAGATGGTCTGCTGGACAAACATGAAGACGTTGACCTTAGCTTTTGGTGAGGTGAACTCTGGAAGAAAGGGAAGAGGCAGAGATCACATGTAGACGTAGTCAATACGTTTTAAAGTCCACAGGCGCACTGATGGCCTCTTGCAATACAGTTTTGGTGTGCAATGTCGGTTGCAAGAGCCTTCTCATACTAGCTGGGCAGCATCAGTTTGAGA